GATTAGACATTTGTAGTTCTTCTTATATTCTTTAATTTTTCATTTCTAATTCTATAAACGATATTTTATTTTAATTAATTTAACTTTCTTATTCTGATAATAATTTCATATAATGATTTTTATTATTTTCATTTTTTTTTTCTAATATATTCATTTTTTTATTTAAATCATCATATTATTATTCTATTTATTAATTTTTTAAATTAGATTATTAATTTTTTTCTTTTAATTCTTAATTATTAAGTTAATATTCATGTAATTATTTTTCTAAATCTAAAATCCTTTATTAATAATCTTATATTACTTAAACATTTTGTGTACAATTTTATTATAACATATCTATTTCTTATTCAAGATTAATCTTTTCTGTTTACATTTTACTAGTAATAAAAGGCAATTCCTATCTAAAACTATTTAATTCTTATTATTTTACATTATAAATTTAACAAACTTCCTCATATTAATCACTTATATGTTTAAATTTTAAATTAATTTATTCATTTTAAATTTCAAATTCATTTTTCATTTACTAAATTTGTATTTCGTATTTTTCTTTCATTTCGTTAATTTTTTTTCTGTTTTTTCCTTCTTTATATTAATATTAGTGTTTTTTTCGTACAAAACTTTCACTTCGTTTTATAAAAAACATATTTATTTTTATAATTCTTCTATAGTTTAATTGTTTAAAATTTTCTCGTTTTAATTATATTCACCTTATTGTCCTATTTTATTCATTTTTTTCTAAAATATTTCTATTTAATTTTATAAATGAATGTTATCTTATTAAATATATTCATTTTCTTATTAATATTTATTTATTTATTCTTAATATTAGTCTTCTTTAACTTAAAATTCTTCTTTTAAATTCTCAACTATTTCCTTTAGCCTGCTTTATTCGGAAAGATAAATTTTCTCTTTTAAATTGTAAAAATCTTATGTTTCTTTTATAAAAATATCCCTTTCTTGTTCAATTTTATGAATATTTTATTATATATGGCTCATTTTAAATTCTTGTTAATCTTTTTCATTATTTAATTTATTTATTTACTATTCTAATTAATGTATTTAATCTTCTTTATCGATTATTTTTTACTCTAAATTATATTTTTAATTTAATAATTCTTCATATTTTAATTTAATAGAAGTATTTTCTAATTTAATTTTATCTAAATCTTATATATATTGATTCCTCTCATTTATAATTTTTTAATTTTCTATACTTTTTTCTAAAAGAATCTGATCTTATAAACTTTTTTTATTTTAATTTAAAAAAAGATTAAATTATTCTTGTAAATTTTATTTTTCTAAATTTTCTTGAAATAGCTTATTAAAAAAAAAATTAATAATATATATATATAAAAAACTATATATATATATATATATATATATATATATATATATATATATATATATATATATATATATATTTACATGTTTTTATTTTATTAATATTTAATTTTATAAATCTTCATTTTATATTAAAATTTCATTATTTTTTTATTAAATTTATTTAATTTATTAATCTTTTTCATTTATTATTATTTCTTTTTCTTTTAAATTTTTATTTTTTAATTACTCAATTTAATTATCCTTTATAATTAATTATTATTATATTTAATTTAAAACATCTTTTAATTATTCAATTGTTTCTTTATTTTTTTTTAAAACACTATTTTTTTCAAAACATTCTTATTTTTAACATTCTTTCATTATTTTTTCTTTTTAAAATGTACAATTATTATTTATTTCTTATTGGTATTTCTATTATTTTATTTTTTCTTCTAAATTTTTAATTTTTTAATTTTTTTCTTAAAACATTTATTCTATTGCCTCATTTACCTTATCTTCTGTAAAATTTTCTCTTTATTATACTAATTCTTACCTTAATTACTCGTTTTAACTTAATAAAACATTAATTCTATCTTCTAATTGATGAATAACCTACTAATCATTTTATTAATTTTAATTTTTATTTTAAATCTTTTCATTTTATAAAACTTTCTATTATATTTAATTTAATAAATCTTCATTAGATTATTGCAAAACACTTATTTTGGTTTCATATTAATCTATTTTTAAATTTAATTGTTAGTTTTATATATTTGACTAGTCTAATTGTTATTTTAAAGAGTTAAATTCTAATAATTATTTCATATTTTAGCTTACTTTTTAATTTAAAAGTGAATAATCTCGTGCTAGTTTTTAATTTTATTTATTTAAATTATCGTTTTCAGCTGATAGTTTTTAAATATTTGACAAAATATCTAAATCTTAGTTATTTTTAGCCTATTTTTAATCAAAACTTTCATTAAAAGAAAAATGTTGTTTTAAAATTATTGATTCCTTTTTATCACTGATTCTTGGGGATAAAAGTGGAGAATTATTTCTTAAAAAATTAATATTTTTTTAATTATTTGTATTAAGATTATTGTTTTTTAAAAAATGAGTATTATTAGAATGAATTAACCTTGTTTAAGACTATTAAATCTCTTAATGTGTATTATATAATTGATGTTAAAGCTAATTTGGGTATTTTTATTAATATTAAGAGGGTTAGATTAAGTTTTTAGGTAATAAACTACTGTTTGGAGTTGGAGAATTCTAACGTAATACTTTTTACTATAACTATTGTTATTATTATTATTATTATTATTATTATTATTATTATTATTATTATTAGTTTTATTAAGGTGATTATTAGTATATAATATGTATTCCTTTTTACATTTTTTTTTATTAGATTAATTCTGTTAATTTTTTAGTTAAGGTTAATTTATATTTTATTATGTTTTTAATTTAATTTTAATTATTAAATATAATTATTTATTTTTTTATTATTTTTATTTCTTAAAAAATAAAATATATAAATTTATAATATGGAATAATAATAATTTTTAGATTAAAAATAATTTTCATTTAATAATATTCAAGATATTCAAGAATATAGCAATATTTCATTATAATAAAATTAATAAAAACATATTAGGCCTTAAGTATAAAAACATTAAGATAAAATATCTAATTAATAATAATTATTAAAAAATGATTTTACTTATTAAAATGTAAACTAAACAAATAATCAAGACATGAAAATAAGTAATTATTTTAAAAACATTAATGACAAATAAACATTTGATGATAATAATAAACTATAATTATAATAAAAAATTTCTTATTAATAATAATAAAAAGACTATACATAATAATTAAATTAAAATATATAATAAATTCTTTAAAAATATAATAATTTAAATAAGGATAATTTAGATATTAAAAATGAAATCAAATATTATAATAATAAATATGATAATTAAAACAATTTATAAATATAATGAATTAATAAAAATAATAAAAATACTTAATTAAGAATAAATAAAGATAAAGAAAATAAAAATTTATATTTAAAAAAATAAAATAAAAAAGAAATGGAAAAAGATTAAAAATATTAATATAAAAATAATAATTATAATGGAATTAATAATAAAAATATTAATAATAATAATATTAATATTAAAAATAATAATAATTAAAATTATTATATTAATAATAATAAAAGTGATAATTTTTATAATAATCAATACATTAATAATAAATAATTATAATTAAATTAATAATAAATTGTTAATAATTAATAATTTTTATATGAAGAACCTTATTAATAATAATATTTATATGATATAAAAAAAAATGAAGAAAATTAATTTTTTTAAGTAAATTCTTTTTTTAATTATTTTTAGAATAATTTTAATTATAATAATAATAATTTACTAATGTAAAAATAAAATAATAATATAATTAAGAGTTTTTGTATTTAAAAAAATAATATCTAATAAAAAAATTAAATTTAATTATAAGAAAATACAAATTTTAATCAAAATTAATACGAAAATATATTTTAAAATGATGAATATTAAAAATAAAATAATAACTAAAGTATATAAAAATAATTCTTTCTTGATTTAAGTTAATATATAAAGTAAAATAATTATACTGATAATTTGTAATAAAATTAAAATACTTAAGAAATATAAACAAATTAAAAAATTAAAAATCAGGTTATTAAAACATTATTAGAATAATAAAATACGCCTGTAAAAAGCAATATTATCGATAGTTTTACTTAATAAAATAAATAATAAAATTAAACAATTTAATATAATTAATAAAATTAAATTATAAAAAAAAGCTTGAGTAATAATATTAAATAAATTAATACTTTTAATTAAAATGAATAAGTTTAATAAAAAAAATAACCTTTAAAATTATAAGTTTTTTAGAAATCATTTATTTAAAGAGTATAAAATGATATAAAAAGAAGAGAGGCTAAAATTTAAAATTTGAAAAAATAAATTGAATAAAATTAAGAATTAAAAGACTAAAAATAAAATAGTTTTAAATAAAAAAGATTAAATTTTAAAATATTAATTAAGAAAACTTTAATGATGGATAAATGTTAGATAAAAATTTTTAGAAAAAACTATATGCAAATAAAATATTGTTTAAAATAATGATTTATAGCAATATTTAAATATTAGTAGAAGTTAAGACTAGGAAGAATTTAAAAATTTATATTATAATTTTTATTAAAAAAGTTTTTGATAATTTTATTTTATTTTCAAACAAAATTTTAATTATATTTAAATAATCTTACAGTTAAATTAATAATATATCATATATATAATTTATACAATTTTTTCTATTTTATATATATATATTAATTAATGTAAAAAAAATAAAATTTTAATAATAATAATTAATAGAAAATTATCAATTGATATAAACATAATTATATTTTTTTTAAAAAAAAAATAAAATTATAATCATTAATTTATTAGTTTTATTAAAAAGGAAAAAATGAAAGATAGATAATAAATTATTTATATAAATAATGTAATATTTATAAAAATTAAAATATAATAATTAGTAAAATTATTTTTTTATAAGTAATTTATATATTTTTTTATATGTAATAAAAAAAAATGAAAAACTAACAAAAAAATACCATCAAATTACCCCGTATATAAACATAAGAAAAGCGTAATGAAACTAGAATAAAGTAACCTTCGACCACATAGACTATAAAACAATAAAAACGTCAAAATAACCCTGATATAATGAAAGATTTAAAAATAAATTCTTTAAATTCTATGACAGTTTAATAAATAGGACAAGAGGAAAAACTTTCAACAAAGAATTCTGAATGTAAAGAAAAATAAAATACTATATTTTTGAGAAAAAGCCCCATTGAATTTATGAAAAATTTAAATAATAATTTAAATACGAAATCTCAAGTAATGGGCGAGCGTTCACATTATTTAAATTCTCTTTCTTTGTATGGGAAATCGAAGGAATTAGAAGAGGAAGAAGAAGAGAGAATATTTGATAGTCTTTTGCTTAAAAAAATCAACTAGACTATTGAATTCGATCATTTGGATAATAATAATTAAAAAACTGTGGGGGATAATATTGTTTAGTAATATTATAGTAATTATAAACACTTGTCTAAAATTATCGAAAAAGATGAATATTATTAAAATGATATGGGGGTTTAGGTCAAAATACTTGAACAAATTGAAAAATGTAACATTTTTCCAAGTAAATTGGGACTTTTTAAATAAAAAGGAGATGAAAATACACTTAAAGTAAGGTAATTTTATTATTTTATTTATTTTAGTTAACAAAAAAATTATATATTTTGTTTTATTTTAATAAACAAAAAAAGTTATATGAATTTTGGAGATAAATATTTATCAGTTTTAGGAAAAGGATTAAAAAAAGTAAACTAAATAAAGAAATATTACCTAAATAATAATCGAATAACTGATAAAAGTATAAGTGATATTTTATAAAGCATATAAAAAAATGCTAAGGAAATAAACTTAGCACACAACTAGATAGGACTTACAGCATGTTAAGACTTATAAAAATCAATAGAAAATCCTCAAACATCGTAAATAATATATAAAAAAAAAAATTATAAAAATATTATTATAAATATGTATGCAAATATATATACTTATTTAAAAAGTATTTAAATATATATATATATGAAATTATATATGATTTATACATATAATTTAATAATAAATTTATATTAAATATATTTATATTTAAATATATGTTAAATTCTAAATATTTATATATTAAATTTATTTATATATATATATTACAATTTATATATATATATATATATATATATATATAATTATAAATTTTATATTTAGAATTTAAATTTTAAATTTGGAAGATAATAAATTATTAGATAATTCTGTTTAATATTTACTTGAAGGTTTATTGTCAAATCGTAGTTTTAAAAAATTAAATCTTTCTAAAAATTTTCTTACTTGTAAAATTTGTCCCTTATTACGATAAGTTTTAGAATAATGCTATTTATAGGAACTTTATTTATACTGGAATTAAATTTCTGGAAAAGGAGGTATTGAAATTTTCGAAGGTTTAAAAGAAAACTAAAATTTGCATGTTTTAGATATTTCATCCAATAATTTAGGAAAAACAGAAGGAAATCTATAATCTTCCTGTATTTAGTCCATTACTTAATTTTTTATTTAAAATAAAAAGATGATTCATTTAGATTTATCCAATAATTAATTTGATTTTTAATAAAGTTTAGAAATAGCGAAAGCTTTAGAAAAAAATAATACTATATATGGCTTTCATTTTTAAGGAAATATCGGATACGTTGATTCTAGAGGCTTTCTTATAGTAAACGAGCTCTAGGAAAAAGAAATTGCCCAATTGCATACCTAAGTCAGGATAAATGGGTGTAAAAGTATCGAAAACTTCATCAAATTAAGAGAAACTAGGGAGAAAGATCTCTAAAATTGCTGCTGGATATGCGAAGGATGGCAAGAAATGGAATTTACATGGAATGTTGGTATTTCAGGTGAAATAAGGCCCGACCCAATATTCATACACTTCAATTTTGAGGACTATAGAGCGAATTATTTCCGCAAAGATTCCCATTTAGAGTCCAAATTTTTATAAAAATACGTCTATTCGAGAATGGTACCTCCAGGTGATCTTTTTTATTTTTTTTCGGGGCAAGATTCATCTGAAATAGCATAAGATTTGCCAAAAAAAGTGATTTTTTAGGAAGAAACCTGCATATAAAATGTTTTTTTATATGAAAACTGCTATATTGATGTATATTTGAAAGAATTAAATTTTTAGAAAATAATTTAAAATAAAGGTCTTTTTTATAAATACGAAAGCTAAAATAAAATATAGCCAAGAAAAAAAGACTAGATTTTCATTCCAGCAAAATAGAAAAAATTTAAATATAAATGGAAGCTTCCATAGTCTCTTTTTGCCAAATGGAAAGCTGATAATGAAGATATAATAAAAAGATGCTTCGAATTCGATTGGAAATATGGAAAAATAGGTAAAATAGTACGAAATGAGGAAGATGAATAAGAAGTAGCTAATTTTTTTTCACAAAGATATGCCTAAATTAAGAATTTTTATAAATTTTATGCCAGTAAGAGTCCCGTAGGAGATATTTGGGCTATTTAAAATGGTGTTTTTTTAGAATTTATTGATAAAATTAAAATTATTGATAATAAATTAGTTAAAGATGCCGATATTAATATAAAATGGGTAGCCACAGTTTCCTCGATTCCATAATCCGATAAAACAAATCCAAGAAATCCAGTTTAGGGCATAAACAGGTATTAAATAATGGAAATATTAATACGTATAGCCGAAGAAAAATATATTCTGAAATAAAAAAAAGCCTAGTCTTATTTATAGGCTTTATAATTTTTATGGGAAGAACATCTTTTTTAAGAGCTCTCCAATGAAAGCTATAATCCGTAAATTTGGAGAAATTAAAGATACTGGAATGAAGAATGTGACACTTGTTTGAAATTCTATAAACCTATATTGGAGCATGTATATAAGAAATATGCTAAATTAAAAGTTAAACCAGGATAGCCACCTTTTATGTGCTTGGAAGAATTACAAAATATATGCACTTAGTGCGGATTTAATGAATTAGCACATTTTGGACCATAAATACCTTTATTGGCTTTTAATTTTAGTATGATGACATAAATTGATGAAATTAATAGTGATAGAATATTTTAAATGTCTCTTTTGGAATTTATGGAGGCTGTAGCAAGAATTGCTGAGGATGTGGTAAAATATTATTTTTTTTAGATTTTTTATTTTTTTTTTTTAAAAAAAAAAGTCATTAGAACCGATTGAAGGGATAAGGTTTGTAGATTAAGATTGGGAAGATTTGGAAAGGAGAAAAAATTAACCGCTTGGACATAAATTGGAGGCATTTATTGTCAAGTTATTGTAGTGTTGTTGTGATAGCTTATTTAGTGAAAAATATCCAAAGATTAAAAAAAGTTTCTTTACTATAGATTAAAATGATGAAGAATATGAGCTGATTAGTCCATGATTAAATATATATATATTATATTATGTTTAATTATATTATGTAATATTAAAAAAAGTTGTACTTTTTTATATTTTTATATATTATATTTTGTTTATAAATGATTTTTTTTTTCTTATAATATTTTTTAAAGGAATTCATTTTTTTTTATTAACTTAATAAAAAAAAGTCATATTTAATTAATATTATTAAAATATATATGGCTGTTGGTAGAAAATTTAAAGATAAATAAATATTAAAAAGTTAGAAATATCATGTAGATCATATAATATTAAACAAAAATAAATCAAATATCTATTAATATGAAAAATAAATAATTAATTAAAATATATAGTCGGAAAGAAAGTATCTAACCAATAGGATTTGTTTTGCGTGAAAAAGAGTTGTATTGTATTTTAATTTAATTTAATTATTACTGATTATTGTTTATAATTATTTTTTTAAGTTCTTTTAGAATCTACTGAGATACACCCTGAATATATATGCTAATATGCCAGAAATTAATTATTAATAAGAATTAAATTGAATTTTCTTTAGCAATTATTAAATAGAACTACATCGATATAAATTTCAGTTAATCAATGGCTATTAATTTAAAAAATACGTACTTATTCTTAAAGGAAATATTAATAATTATAAAATCCTTATAAAAATAAATGCTTTGAAATATAAAAAAAAGAGCGATCAAAATTCAAAATTCAAATAAAAAATGTTAAAATTAATCCTTAAAATAACCATCCGTATATTAAATTAAGTTTAAAACATGAAATAAGTTGAAGGAATATTAGACACTAATTTATAACGAAAAAATGAGGAAAATCCCCATATTGATAACTCGGGAAAGCAGAAGTTTTTAAAGGTTTTATAAAATTAATTTATATTCACTATTTAGATTTATTAAGGAATTTGAGAAGTATTCTAAAATCAGGAAATACATATGAATTTCATTTCTAAATAAAAGATGAATTACTAAATACTTAAACTGAATAAGAAGCAAAAGTATTCATTCAGTTTATAATTTTTTAATGAAATTAATAGCAGTAAATTAAGCTTATAAAAAATTTTCAAAAAAAAAAGACAAACTACAAGATAAAATTAAACATACGCTAGAAAAATTAAAAATGGTAATAATAATGATGAGTTAAGTAAAAATGAAATAAATAAAAAATTATTTTGAAAATTTTATAAAGAAAATAAATAAAAATAAAGTATTAAAAATGCTAAAAAAAATATATAATAGAATTATAGATTATATAAAAGGAATTTCTATTAATTTTGCAGATGATTCAGATTCTATGGATACAAATATATATGGCTAAATTAAAGTAAAATATATAAGAATAGATTATGCTAAATTATAGATTAGTTGATATAAAAGAAAAGTAATAAAAATTTAAATATAATTACAATGAGAAAATAAAATAAAAAATAAAAATTTTATTTGATATAAAAGAAAAGATAAGATAAGTATTCAAAAATAATAAATTATATAAATATATTTTTATATTATATATAAATTATTTTATTTATTTTTCTTATTTTTTTTTATTTATATTTTTTTATCGATATTTATAAATCCTTTTTTAAAAAGATAATCTATATATATATACAAACTAATGTAATTTAAAATATTTATTTTATTTTTAAAAAAAAAATTCATAAAAAATAAAACATACTTAAAATAATTAATATATATATTCATATTTTTTTTCAACAATATTTTTATAGAATTATTCCAAAAATAGCATCTATATCTGCTTAAGAGTTACTTTTAATAGTTATTGATAAATCTCTATTTTAATTATGAATTCCATAAAATAATACTACATTTTAATTCTAATTATTTTTCCCTGCACAAATAAGTTCATTGTTATCAACCTCTATAACTCCGATTCCTAAAATTGCAAGCATATTTCTAAAGTCTTTTTCATTTCTAATTTTTGTATTTTTGAAATCTTATTTTATTTCATGTTATAGTTTATCCCAATACTGTTCATATTATTCCACATTTATATTAAAAGGACTTAATTTTTATACAATGATATTATTATTATTATTACTATTATTATTATTAAAATTATTATTATTATCATCATTATTTATTTCATCTCCTAATAAATCAACTACTTTCTAAATATTTGGCTTTTATTATTATTATTATTGTTATTATTGTTATTTTGGTATGTTTTTAATTGAACTGGTCATATTTGTACTTACAGAAGGAGTATTGGTAGCAATTCCTGAAAATAGACCTTATGCTAAAGCATCTCTTTGTTTTTATTTTGGATTTTCTGTTTCTATTTTTGCTCTATAATCAACTGTATTCGATGGCTAATTTAATTTATAAGTATCACTTGAGATAGAATTAATTTCTGGCCTTACTACTTTCACACCTTCAATATATGGCTTCTCTTAATAATCTTTAGATGAAATACTTTTCTTGTTTGAGTTGTTTTCTTGTATTTTATAAGATAATGGTTTTGGTTATTCAATTTCATTTACTCCATCAGGACCATATATTCTTTATTTTATATTCAATTTTAATTCTTCTTCTTAATCTCCATTGTTTTTATATTATAGTTTATCACTTTATTTTGCTTCGAAATAAATTTATTAATCTTTATATTATATATTTAAAAATATAAATATAAAAAAATATATAATTATTTATATATTTATATTACTTTATGTTGTAGTTTATCCATAAGCCATTTTCATACTTTTAGACTATTCATATTTTTTTGCTCCATTCATTACTGCCTTTTCTATAAAGTCATTTAAAAAATTAAGCTTAGGATCAATAACTAAGGCTTAAGATTATCTTAAGGCAGCATTATATTTAGATAAAATTTTATATTCTTTAGCTCTACTGGCTACTTCTGGATTATAAGAATCCGCATAATAGTCGAAACATTATGCTAATTCTTCTTACATAGAAAAAGCGGGACAAGAAGATAATTTCGCAAGAGCATTTAACATCCAACCTCTAGTATTTTTATCTTCGAAATCATTAGTAATATATTCTAATAATACTTATATTAATTCATCTAGTTTTTCTTTATTATTACTATCTATAATGGATATATAAAAATTTTAAATAGATATATATTTAATAATATATATTTACATGTAGCAGACCCTATTTCTCCAATAACCCAAGAAATCATTTTGAAAGTAGTATCTGAAATATTAATTTTTCTAATGATTAATAAATAAATATCAATTAAATATTATCCAAATTCATTTCCATTTCTTTAGAAGTTTTCTACTAGAGTCCTTAAAAAATTATTAAGAATTTCATTATCAATATACTCACTTCCATACTCAAAAACAAAATTCATAGTTTTCAAATACCATTCATAGTCTGGTGAATGTCTATCGGCTAAAGATGTAATTTTAGTTACTAAATTTTTCCTAAAATTTTAATCAGAGCTTGTTTTTAAGAAGTTTATAAGCCTCTCGACTATTGCCTATACATTATTCATATTTGTCATTTTGTAAAGTAATTCCATAGTTTCTCTTTTTAATGTGTCATCATTACTTTCAAGACAATCCATAATAGTTCTTTAATGCTCTAATACATAGGAAGAATTTACCTTTATTTTTAATATATATATACATATATATATACATATATATATATATATATAATATATATATATATATTTAAATAATTTTTAATTTACTTAAACAATAGATATTAAGGCATTTATTCCTAGATATTTTAAATTATTATTATCTGAAGTAAGGAATCTAGAGACAGCTGATGCTGCTTGTTCTAAAAGACTTTAATAAGGATAAATTGTAGCTATAGTTTTCACACATTAATATGTGACTGCAAAACCTATTTTACTTCCTGTATCATCACTTCTTCTTAATGCTTATCCTAGAATTTCATATATTTATTCAGATACTTTCTAGTCTTTTTTTCCTAATATGGCAAGTATTTGAAGATTTTTTATTTATATCCAAGGTGCTGGTATTCTCGAATAATCAAATTCTTTAGGTAATTTATGTTCTATAATTTACTTCAAGATTAGAACAAAAGATCCAGTGTGTTCTTTGAATTTATTAGGGTCTTCTTTTACAGCTTCTAGATATAAATTCAAAGAAGCACCCATAACTGAAGGCTCAACATCACATAAAGCTTTTCTCATTTTATCGTTATAATCAGGAATCGAAGATGGAGATAATTAATGTATCTTTTATAATACCATTATTGCTTTTTTTCTTACTAAATCTGTTTAATGTATTAATAGTTTAAGAACCTATATACATATAAATATTGATATATATATATTATTTTTTAAATTACTTATTCTAAAATACCATTTATAATTGTAGAATTCATTAATTTTCCTAATGCAGTTAAAGCAATAACTATTTCGTGTACATTTTTCGATTATAAGTCTTTTTGTAAATTCGCAACTAATAAGATTAATAATTCGCTCTAATCATTCAAAAATAAACAGCAAGTTAAATATCCTAATCTTTTCATACTTAGATTTTTGGATTAAGCAGTTTCGACGGCAATAAAATGGCAAAATGTAGAATCGTGACCGAGCATATCTATATACATGGACTTTATTAAATTCTCTTTTTGCTTTTTTATAGGTTAGCTCTTGTCTTTTATTATCGATTTTAACTTCGTTTGCTCCTACAGAATTATTTTGTCTTCTTCTTGTTTTGAGCGAGTTTCTCCAATTTATTTTACTAAGTCATGCATTTCTTTTGTTAATTGAGAACTTGACATTTTTATTTTGTATTTGTTATTTTATTTTAATTTTTATTTATTTCTTAAGTTTTTTTTATAATTAAAATGCTTTACTATGAAATTATTATTATTATTATTATTATTTTTATATATGTAAGAATATCTTTATATCTATATTATTTATCTTATAAAATTTTTGTTTTTAATTTATATTTTTTAAAAAAAGAAAATAAGGGTATTTTTGAATATAATTTTTATTTGTTTTTTGAAATTTTAAAAAAAATAATATAAAAATATTATTATTTAAAAGTAAATATAATATATATAAAATATAAGTAATTTATTTAAAAAAAAATATTTAATTTAAATATATCAATATATAATTTAAATAAAAATAAATTTTAATAAATGTTAATAAAGATATACATATTTATTTATAAAAAAAACATATTATATTTAAAAACTTATATATTAAAATAAAATTTATTAAACATTCAAACTTTAATAATCTAGACTTTTTCCAATAATAAAATCTCTTCTTTTGTAAGTTTTTTGAAAGGAACTGTATCTAAAATATTTTCCAATTCAGGGTTAATAATTAAAGCTAATTTATTTTTATCAGTAATAATACATTTTTCAATTTCTCTTAATCTAAATATATATATATATATATATATATATATATATATATATATATAAGATTCTTAATTTATTTTAAAATATTTACTTATCTTTGTAATTTTGAATATGTTTTTCTTATATGTTTTCAAATTATTATTAAATAACCTCTATTATAAACACAAAAACATATTCAATAATAAATTCAATACCAAAAGTCGAAAATTTAGTATAATTTTTAAATACTTCATAAACAATAAACTAATCAAGTAAAAAAATAAATTTTTTAATAATAAATTTGAATGAAGAATCACTAAAAGATTATTATTTTGCTTAAAAAAGATTATTTATAAAATTTTAATTAATTAATTTTTTTAATTCTTCTTAATTAAATTCATCTTCTTGTATTTATTTTCCATTTGTAAAAAATTAAAAATAAGTAGAATTAATTTTTTTCTTTAAAGCTTTAAAAAAGTTTTTCGTAATTTTTTCTGTGTATTCGGTTTAAAACTTTATAATATTTTCTTTTTTGAACTTTTTTAATAGCTCTATATTCTATTCTTTTATTCCTACAATATTATTCTATTCTTATTTATAAAATTAATTATATATCTGTTTAAAATGTTCAACTATATTAAAAAGAAAAGAAAAAAAAATTAATAAATTTATAAATAAAAGAAATACCAAGTTATATTGATATTTCTTCATCATTTTAAAATATTTATTAAAAGTTTGTTTCTAATTTTTTGAATAATAATGTAAATATTTTTCCGTAATAATATTCTTAAATTTTAAGTTAAAGTTCTTTTTTTTTAACAAATTAATATTTCCTTATCATTTTCGAAAATAAAGTATTATAATCTTCAATAATAGTAAATATTTCAAAGTTCTAAAAAAATTAGAAAAAAATAAATAAAAATAAAAATAAAAAAATTACTCTTTCTGAACAATCTTTCAAAGAAGAATATTTAAAATCGACTTTTTATAATTCGAGTAGTATTTTTTAATTAATAATTTCATATTCATGTTATAGAATTTATTCTAGTAACTATTTATCTTAATTTTAATCCAAAATTTATTCGAAAATATAAGGAATATTTATTTAACTTGAAACCTATTCACTAAACTTTAAAATACACAATTCAAAAGTTTCCAAATTATCCACAAAATTAATAAGAAGATAAATATTTTAAAATAATTCTTCTTTATCATAATTAAATCTTAATATAGTATTTTTCAAGCAAACTTATTTAAAAAGTAATTAAAAAAATTAACATATACTCTCTTCTTCTTCATTTTAATTCATAAATATACTAAAATAAGCCTAAACGTTATTTTCGAAAATTTCTTTTAAATAGGAAAAAAACCATTCAGGTTTTGCTATTTCGTTTGTCTTTTTTTCACTTATAAAATGATAAACAATCGAACTATTTAAACTTTCACAATATATGGGCATAAAAAATAAGTTCTCGCCTAATAATTATTCGATACAGTCATCTATTTTAATAAATAAACGCAAATATTAAGGAGCTAATTATTTATATTCCTTATCTATTTCAATAATTGAATTTTGCCTATTTTTTTAACATATATAAATAAATATAATATATATATAAATATATATATATATAAATATATTATATATTTATATACATAAATATTACTTCTTATGTGGAAGATTAAGTTATTATAATACAATAAATAACATTTCTCTATTTTAAGAATCATAGTTTTTTAAAATTATTTCTAAATGGTTATTCATGTAAGATTAAAAAGCTTTTTTTCCTTTTTGGATGAATTATAAGTCTAAGTTTTTGACTTTTTCCCAACAAACGCATACTTTTTTTATTACTTAATATGTTTCGGTATTAAATTCGATAATTTTTTTGAAATTTTTAACGTTATAAGTATATTATTCTTTATATTTTTTTATATATTATTGTAAATCTTTTTAAATTTCACTACAACTTTCTGATAAAATTAATAAATTTTAATAATTTTAATTTTCGCTTATTATTTTATCATATTATATTAATAAGTCTGGTGTGTAATTTCTTTCATATTTTTATTTTATTTCTTTCATTTATGTTATTGTGTTTTCTTAATCTTATAATTATTTTTCATAATTTTAAATTTGATTTAATAATGCCTCACTTTTTAAGTTAAAATTAAATAATTGTATAATATCTAAATTCATTTTTATTAAATATTTAAAAAATATTATTTTTCTCTGTATATTATAATATGAATTTTATTTATATTTTAATATTTAAAAATCAATAAAAAATTTATTTAATAATAATAATTAATAATTATAAAAAAATATTGTTTTTTTATTAAATGACATATACAGAAATACATTTATATAAATATATATATATATATATATATATATATATATTTATATATATTTTTTATTTATAATATAATAATATTTATATATATAAATTGCATATTAAACAATTATTCAAATTTATAATTAAACTAAAGCATAATCTAAATTAAAATTATTAATTTTTTTTAAATAATTTGATCAATATGATTAGTGTTCTCTTCAAAATTTATGCTTTTTTCATTACTATTTAGTTTTAGAAAATTTATTTCTCTTGACTATACATGCTAAAATAATTAAGGAGTATTTTATTTTTATTTCATATTTATATTAGAAGAAGAATCTAATTAAGCTTAATATTATAAATTTTCATCATTTTAAATATGGCTTTTTTTATAGTTATATTGAATTTCATTTTATTGGCTTTTTTATTAAAAGAGTTTAAATAGGGAGACATGTTTTTTTTTAATTACTGTATTCTTCTTAGTTAAATATTTATTTTTAATTACTTGGAATGTTTAATATGTTTTTTTTTGCATTTGATTCAGATTAAAATTGGAAAAAAACTTTTTATTATAAGCATTATTATTAAAAATATAAATCTTTATTTTATTATTAAATTGTTTGGAAATTCTTATTTTTTTTTTTTTTTTAATAAAATTAATTATTTATTTTTAAAATTAATTTTTATTTACATTATTTAATTATTGTTTTATGTCTTAAATTCTTTCGTTTATTTATTTAAAATTATTTTGGAAATTAAAAAGCATTTTTTCAACTTATTTTATATTTTGGTCTAACATAAGGAATATTTATTAACTTAAAACAGGAACAAATATTTCTTAAAAACAGTTTTTTATTTAATTTAATAAATTTTACTGACTTTAATTGATTAATACTTATACAATTTTAAATATTTAAATCATTTAAAAATCTAATTAATTATTACTGCTATGATCTGTAGTTTCAGGATTATTTTATTATTTACAAGGAGATTTATTTCTAAATTAATGGTTGTTATTATTTCTTTAAAAATTTCTTTATTCATTATTTTTTTAAATGTCAATGTTTGGGTTCGTACTTTTTTCTGAACCTATTTATTTATATATTTGTTTGTTTTTTTAATTATATTTCTTAAATTATTTTACTTTATATTTGTTGTTATATTTTTTTCATTATTTCATTTATACTTTAAGCCCTTTATTTCTAATCCATTTTTATTTAATTTTTTATATTTTTTGCTTATTAAAAAAAAAAATATTTAGAAAAAATTCAAAAAGTAAAATTATTATTTTGTATTTTTTAATATTTAATTTTTAATATTAATTTTTATATAATATTAATATATTAAATTAATTTGTTAATATAAAAAAAGTAAAAATAATTTTTTATTAAATAAATATATAATATAAATTAATAAAGATAAAAATAATAAAAGATTTTTTTCTTATAATGAAATTTAAATAAATAAAAACAAAAATTATTCATAATATTATTTATAAAAAAAATTACAATAATATAAAAAAATTATTAAATAATAATTACAAATAAAATATATATAAAATATAAATAGAAAAATATAAATATATATTTATATATTTATATATTTATATATATATAGATTTTATTATATATAAAATTATATTATTATTCAACATAAATTAAATAAATTATAATATTATAATCAAAACCAACTTTTTTTTTCTCTGAACTAATTATATTATTTATTCTTTATCCTAATCTTTAAATTCTAATAAATTAAATATTATATTTAAATATTAATTAGATTCTACATTTGATTTATCTTTTCCTTTTTCATTTCTTATATTATTTTTTATATTATTTAAAATATTATTGTAATTTTATAAAAAAAATTATTTTTATTTTTACAAACAGTTTATATATTTTGGAAAAACAGCTCTTAATGTAGATTTTATATATTATTCATTTCCTTCTTTTTCTTAATTTTATAAAATACAAACTTATTATTTAAGATTTTTATTTAATTTTAAAGAAACTCTTAATTATTTTCATATTCTTTAATTTCTTTTTATAATTTATCTACATTTAATTATAATTATTCGAATTC